ATACATAGGTGAGTTTTTGTAGTCTCAGAACTAAATAATTTTCTTGGATCACCCAGTTATTAACTTCTTTCAATATTTCTATTAGAAACACCCATTCCAGGATATTCCTAATAAACACTATACCAACAGCTGCAACCTTAAATTATAAATGTGGTTTTAATGTGCATCTCTGTAGCATGCAACTGAACAATGTCACGCTAGATAACGACAACAGTCATAATGCCATACTGTTGAATAATCTTGGGTACATTTTTTTAGTAACCATTTACTAGCGTATCACGACTTATCAACTCTGTATATAAACATATATGCACTGATTTCGTGTAATTCTTATTCTTACAAAAGTAGCACAATATTTCAAACGTTTGATTAAGTGCTGAATTTATTCTTGGCGTTGGTTAAATAGACGAAATGTCAGTTGTTAGTTTCATGTAGTCTGCCAGGTTTTAAACTTAGTATCTTATCGTAATCTAACATTTTTATGCTATTGACAAAGCCCTTTCCTAATATCGTACACTAGAATTTATATTTCTAGGTGTAATGGATTGTTGAGGTGAGGGCTTACGGCGAGCTGTCATCTGAACTGATGACGACCAGTGGTGTCCGTCAAGGATGCCCATTATCTCCTTTTCTATTCAACTTCATCATAGATGTGTTAATGGACTTAACCCTAGGTGACTTCAGCGATTCAGGGATTGACTTGCTACCTGGGAATAATCTCGTTGACTTGGAATATGCAGACGATATAGTCCTTCTAGGCGAAGACGCTGACAAAATGCAGAGTCTTCTAAACACCTTGAGCCGCAATCTACGAATGTTTGGCATGCGATTCGCTCCAACCAAATGCAAGATGATGTTACAGGACTGGACTACATCGACGCCTAGTTTAAAAATAGGAAGTGAAGTGGTAGAGCACGTTGACCGCTTCACTTATTTGGGAAGTACCATCAGCCCCAACGGGCTGATCTCTGACGAAATCTCAGCACGAATACAAGGGGCTCGTTTCGCATTTGTTAGTTTACGCCGTCTCTGGCGTAGACGAGATGTTCGACTATCGACCAAAGGGCGGGTGTACTGCTCATCAGTCCGCTCCGTCCTCCTTTATGGTTGTGAGACCTGGCCACTGAGAGTGGAAGACATGAAAAGACTAGCTGCCTTTGATCATAGGTGCCTGCGTTCTTTTCCCCGTGTAAAGTGGCATAATAAGGTGAGCAACATGGAGGTTAGGCGTAGAGTTCTAGGTAAACAGGGGAAATCAATCGACGAAGTCGTGAAGCTACATCGACTGAGATGGTTAGGACATGTGTTACGTATGCCAAGTCATCGCCTCCCTCGACGAGCTGTGTTAGCGGATATAGGATCAGGCTGGAAAAAAGCTAGCGGCGGTCAAACAAAAACTTGGCATCAGTCAATGAAATCCACAACAGTTGGTCTAAGCCACGTAGGAAGTTGTAGACTTCCAGGCTGGGGTCCTCGGGACGGTAAAAATCTATGGTTGGAAACAATTGGTGACATGGCTCAAAACCGTTCTCAGTGGCGCAGATGCATCCACTCCCTGTGACTTATGATCTCCAATGAAACTGTTTTGTTATTCTTTATTACTCCTTTGTCTCACACCTCTGCTCACTGTTTCTATTATGCTTTTCTTGTACTTTCTTCTCTTGCTTCGCGTGCTACACGGAGTGTGGCGACTTGAACTTCCGCACATTTGTGCAAAGTTCTATGTCGAAAACAGACAGACAGATAGACAATGGATTGTTTGACCGTGGTAGTTGACTAAGGTTGATTCTTCAAAGACATATATCTGACCTGAAAATTAAAGCGTCCAACTTATCACATTAATTTTTTCATGCGGATAGCCAACATTTGGCATAATAATACAGTTGGTAATGAGTTGCACTTTTTAAATGACGAAGGTACACAGATGTCTAAACCTTGTTGTGGTGCCCTTTTTGATCAAACTTGCGTACACGTATATCCTAGTACTTCTCGTTCATTATTGTGTCTTAACGTTGTGTTTGCTCGACGTCCACAACGTAAATCAAAAGGCACTTGAGGTGTACAAACGTGTATTATCGCAGTAATCCAAATTCAAAAGTTGAGCGAGTACAAAAGTATCAATTATTAACACGCAATATTTAGAGTGATAAACAAATCAAAGTCCAATTACATAGCGAAAGTATACTACAAAGATGAGTAATAAAATTGGTCACTACAACCTCACTAGATGAAGTGGGATTATCACGCTTGAGTCACTGTTTGAAAGTCCAATGAATAATCTAATAAGCCATATTTGACATGAACTTCCACAAAATTCTATTGTTAATGAAGTCTTCTTATTTGACTCTGTTGGTCCTATATATATTAGTCAACTAAATTGGTGGCATTACTTTAGGAGTTGTCCACTTACCCCTTACAAAACTTGTGTAAATCATTTTTACTAATTACCGTAGTTTCAAGTGTTATCCATATATTTGCAGCACAATTAATGAAAAATACTGGAACTATCTTTGCCAACGAAATCAATCCTGCCAGAGCCCAAGCTTTAATCGGAAATTGTCATCGTATGGGTATCACAAATACCATCATATGTACAGAAGATGGACGAGGATTCCCGAAGATAATGTCAAATTTTGACAGAGTACTCGTTGATGCACCCTGTTCTGGGACAGGAATTATTGCCAAAGACCCGTCAGTAAAAACCAGTAAGAACAATGAAGATATACAGAAATGCGTAAAGCTGCAAAAAGAATTACTCACAGCGGCTATTGATGCTTGCAAAGTCGGAGGTTACATTGTATATTCCACCTGTTCCATATTGGTAAGTTCATTATAATTATTTGTAAAATGTATTACACGAATCGGTAGTTTGATGATAGATAAAGACTAGGGATAGTTGGCCTTACCCTCATTAATAGCTGACAATGGAAATTTTGGTTCTTAAATTTTCCTAAAGAGAATAAGAATGGAATCAGTCCTGTTTGCACAGACCCACTACTCCGTACATACATTAAGTTGCAACTCCTTAACCGCATCTGCAACTGAATATAAGAGTATTAACTGTAATTATGCTCTTCAACTAGAAATGCAGCGGTTATGCTGATATAACCTACTCAAATACTCATTACAACTTTATGGAGCTAGACTACAATCCACAACTGATATATTAGTTTTTATGATACTGCAGGGGGTGCATATCTTAATTGAAACAGAAGACACGCGACTCCAACCGTGTACATTTAATTGGATGCATAACCTTGAACGAATTTAGGTATGCAGTGAATTCAGGTAATTTACCACTATTTCTTTCGAACCACTAATCATGTGTCACTTGGTAAGATGGTTTTTCGAAACTTTGAGTATCTGACTGCTTGTTCTTAAGAGAACTACTGTGTCAGCAATATAGACGTTTAATGTAACTTTTAGGAAGACAGTGAGATCAAAAAATACCCTTGGCAATGCCTTGGCCTTATGTTTCGTATGCATACTCCCCGCTGACGTTGTAATGGTAAATAAAAATGTGACTGGGTCCAGGTAAAATGCAGTACTCTTTCCAGAAACTGATTGGTATATGGTGTGACTGTAAATCTGGTTGTGATCAACACAACTGCGCGAAGTAATAGTTGGAAATTACGTAGTATGACTAAATATAGTACACAACGTGACAAATGTATTCACTCCATCGTGATTGTCTGTTATCATCGTCCACTCCACTTATTTCTGTCAACTTGACTTTCAGCAACCTAGATCGCTACTGGATTGCACTTAGACGGTCTGTCTGTATTCCAAAATCACCATGATATTAAACGTGTTGCATACTACTTCGCAGGTATTTTTCATCAACTTGAACCCTTGACTCTTAACCCATGGGTTCTGGATTCGAATCCTGTCCTACTCAATTCACCCCTCAAACATAAAGTACAGTCCACAACCCCTGAAAAGTCTGTTCTAACAACAAAAGTTACCGCAGAGTTAACCAGTTAAACTATTCCCAACTATGTACATTACCGCATCTTGTATAAAGTATTGGAGGTCATTTCGAATTTTCAAACAACGTTCATTTTTCATATTTACTAGGTAGAGGAAAATGAAAATGTGGTCAATTTCGCAGTGAAACGGCGGAAAGTACGTCTCGAGGAAACAAAACTGTTCGGTGAAAAAGGCTTCACAGCGTAGGTGAGCGTTTACCTAAAAAAATTATTTTGACAGATTCAAAGGTTATCAATTTCATCCAAATATGAACCGCGTTCGACGCTTTTATCCACATAAACACAACGTGGATGGTTTCTTCGTGGCTAAATTGAAAAAACTGGCAGCACGGTCCTCGGTAAAAACGGAAGAAAATGATGAATCGTCAAATGCAGCTAAGAATAGTTAATATTTGTGAATACAAAAAGTCAGATCAACTGGCTTATATTTTGCTTGCATACAATTGCTTTGTATTATATATCTAAGATGTTTGTAGTTAACATTTTGGAAGTGGTTTCCCTCTTTAAGTCATGGCTTTTAATAGACACGAAAGTGACTTAATGGAATCAGTAGTAAAAAAGTGCAGATACAATACACTAGCTTTTCTCCTAAGTGCGTCAACAACAATACACGAAAAATCTTTTGAACATAGAAGATATCAGCATTACTTGTCGTCGATGTTATTAAGATGTACTATGTAGGCTACATGACAGGCTATAGTTTGGTATCACATTGAACTCTTAGCACACCAGTTTTCAGTGGGATACATCTTCATTCCTGTGTTTTTTTTCAGCCTAAAACAGGTTCTTTCCGGCTTACTGAAGACAGACTGACTTGTTCGCCTAGATGCATATGCAGACAAAAATGCTAAGCAACAGTACTTTGAACATCACTCTATTTGTGGCATGAATCGAATGCATTTGGATTAAATAAGCTGACTAGCCAATTCGTTGTAGTCAAACATCTTATAGTCACTGCGATTTTACTTTAAGTCTTAAACACCGAAGAATGGTACATAAAAGTCAACACATAATGAATGCAACATAGTTTATTAAATGCTTAGTTGCTTCATGCAACAGTTTAATTATTGGAGTTATTTCCAAAATAGTCTAGTTGTTGCAATACAGCGTAAGCGTACATAAAATAATCTTAGTTTACAAAATGCGTGTTATTTTCCTTCTCTACGTATCCCAATTATAACGAATTACGTTTACGAAAGTCTTCAAAAAATGCATTCACTTCTTCCGCTGTAACAACCTAAAATAAAGGATAAAGCGAATACGATAATTTAGTTTATTCTGCTGGGAAGTATCAACAACTATCCACTTATCGGGTTACATACCATAATGTATTAAATATTTCCAGAGTAAAATTTAGAACAACACATTTAAGCGAACAATACTGTTTTCAATTAGATCTGATCAGGCCTAGCTCTAATATACATAAGTTTACAAATAAAAATTCAAATATAAACCAATCATGGTGTTTTGTCAATAGGATAATAAGATGGTGAATATAAATTTTGCAATTAGTCATAATAGTAGTAATGATAACAATAATAATAGTAATAATGGTCTTATCAATAATAAGGATGAAAAGTGAGGCAATCTGTGGTAAACTTAATATTTATATGTTGTGTTCTTGATTATAATCATTTAAACGTTGGAATCGATCGTGTCTATTTGTGCAGCTTATACTTTGGTATAAGTAGTATATCTAGTAATGTCTTCAACGAAGTAATGATATTTTTTGTATCGATAGAAAGGTCACTGGTTTGCAGTACTAAGAAACCGACTTGAATGAAATACAGTCATCGAGAATAATACCTTTAAAGTTACCAATAGTGGTTGCTGAGTTTATCAACTATTATCGACGAGATGAAGGATTTTTGCGACTGAAAGTATCTTAGTTTCTTCTACTCCAGTGGGGAGGTGGTTCATTGTGTTAACTCAGATACCTTTATAATGATTACAGACCAGGTCAGCAACTGTTAATTGGCGTCCTAATATCAATGTGATAAGAATTGCAAGGCGAATTCACTTCAGAAAGTGACTTAAACAGAAGTAAAGACAACTTATAATTCATTATTAAGTTAAAAGGAAAGCTAATTGCTGTTAACTCAACCTAATTACGAAACATTTTTAAAAAGTAAATGAGTTTATGAATGAATCACTTACATGGCATTCATCTCTTTTTTTTGTAAGGAATTCTTCCAAAGCACTTTTCAGCCTTGCATACCCTAGATAGAAATAAGTCGTGATGAGCATTAATAACGGAAATCAATTGAAAAATACAGGTATATTCGTATAGGAATAGGACTTGTGCACTGTGGTAGAGTATAATTCCAATGTGGGTGAAATTTATTTTGATAAAGTCTGTGTTATACAGTAATATTTACTGATGACAGCGTTTTGAGCACAATTTATTGCCGATCATAATCGTATTAAGGTACTGATACAACTTTCTAACTTCGCTTGACTTGATAGGTAATAGTATTTTCCAGTGTGAGTGATGAGTCATTCCTATTGCATGTGTCGCGTTTAGATTCCATGAAGATTCGTTAATCAGCAGGTGTATTCGTCTTACTGTTTTAAACCGAATACATTATACTCCTACGTGGTTATGGAGTAAACGCCAACGGTCCTAATCAACTTACACGATTTAAGGTACAGAACCTAGAATGTCTACGCTACGATTTTGATAGCTACGAAGATAAAAAAAAACTCAAAGGTTGCGAAATGACGTTTAAAACAAAACGAAGAAAAGATTGGGATTTTTTAGTTGCAGAAATAGCGTATCAATGCTGTTACAAGCGATTTTGAGCTGAAATTTTTATAGTGAATAATTTATCCAGGCGGTGATGGTTATTAATTAGCGTGAGTGACACGAGCTAAAGCCAACTGATGTATATTCACAAGCTTCATTTCTTTGTTTCTATGTTTAGTTACAACCTCTAGATTTTCTTGTCAGTTGTCTTGTGTTTCAATCATAAATCAGAGAAAAGTGAACTGCTGTGCAGTAAGCATGTCCGTTGATAACAAGTCGGATATTCTAGCACGAAACAATACAGGATTCAGTGTCTCAAACAAATCTTTTGTATCCCATCTGAAATGTTACAAGCATTGGGTAGACTACTGGATAAGTGGAGCGGTAGTTGTACTGAGTACATCTGCATAGACACTACTGCTTTCCATTAATACAGTTTACCAACATACAATCCAATATCATTATAAATTAGTTAAATTAATCCCAGCGTGTTAAGAAAATCAAACAAGATTTCTTCTGAAGGTTTCGCTGTGTAAGCCAGAGCTTCTTCAGCAGATAAAAATCTTGTTTTGATTTTCTTAACAAGCTGGGATTCATTTAAATAACTTATAATGAATCAATCTGACTCAGCGCTCAAATTATTCCGGGAAGTTCGTAACACCTACGGTCTGGAAACCTATAATCCAATATCAACCTACAATTTTGCGCAGAGTTACAGAAGTTCAACTCTCCACACTCCATGTAGCCCAAAAAGTAGACAAAAAAGAACTAAAGTAAGCAGAAATGTGCGGGGAAAAGAATAATCATATGGAAAAACATGATGGTTTAGTGGATATGCCATTTCACTCCTTATTTTCAAACTAGGAAGTCAGTGTGGTTCAGTCCTGCGGCATCATCTCACATTTTATATGGGTGAATCGCATGTCAAACATTCCAAGACTGCATTTCATCCGCGTCTTCATCTAAGAGGTCAATATCATACATATACTCTAAGTCGACAAGAGTCATCCCTAGTGGCAGGTCAACCCCTAAGCCACCAAGTCAGTTAGGGTCAATTCCATTAGTACATCTACTTAACGAAAATGGAGACAATGAACACTCCTGACGGTCACCACTGGTTGTCATCACTACAAATGACAACTGTCCACAAGCTCTTGCATGAATGAGTTCGAGTAGAGTACCTTGTTCAGTACAATGTACCTTCCCGACACTCGCTTCACAGTCAAAAATTGCCATAGCACTTCCCAGTCGATGAAAGAGCACCAAAAATAGTAGAAAAGATATGCAATGTTATTAAATACAGGGCAGAGAGTGATTAATTGTTTTGTGAAGGTTTCCAGAATCCAGGTGACAAAGACTAAATAAGTGTGCGCATTCATGATTGATTTTGAATGCTTTGAAACCCTAACTGGGTTATTACAAATATCGTCTACCATAAAAGGATTAAGAAGAAATATATCCTTTGCATTATATCATATTCTTGCATTAGAGGAAGCTTGTATAGGTTCTCAAAAATCCTGTGAAAATATGAAATCAGTTGCACTTTAATCGCTTCACTCTTCCAGCACAAAAATGGACATTGCATTATGACTCATTATGCATTTGAATCTTACCGGTTGCAAAATTCACAGCCACTTGATGTGGACACTCAGACAATACTTCATTTAATGCACGTTTCTCTTCTTCAGCGATTGACTTAGCTTTTTGTTTTCCTAACTCCATATAGGCAGTTATTGTGTCCTCTGGGTCCAAAAGAAATTCCAGTTTGAAGTGTTGATACATTTTCTGAAATGCATAATTTAGAAAGGAGATTGACAAGCTACAAAGAAATGGGCACCATGCGTTCACTTGTACAAAAGTAGTGGTACAAGCACCGCCCAGCTAAGAAACTTTGTACGACTTATTTTTACATTTTTCACCAAGTGTAAAAAGCAACTGATGTAACTACATAACAAGTGATTCAGCAAACAGACTCTTTTCAACGAATTTATCATCAAGCTGTACAATCGTATATATATGGTTTTTTAAGAAGTTATATCCAGTGAGGGAATCGAATCACATCTGTGAATGCATAGAATAATAATAATAGTAGTATGAAATGCAATTAAAACTAAAATGTTTGTGATTATAATCGTAGTTAAATGTCAAGTGGCAAAACAAATTAATGTCATATATACAATAATTCATAGGATGGATACAACTTGAAAAAGGGTGTGCAATTATAGGATTAGTATACAAATCGAATAAAATAAAAACGTTACGCAATAGTGTGTGGAATTTAATAGCGTAGAATTTAACGTTATAAAAAAGAATTGATTGAGAATGACAGGTCGAACAAGTGAAATAATACCGTGGACAGTTCAAAGTGAGAGCAGTAATAGTAACAATTGACGTAATAAGGAAGAGTATACAGATTGAATAGACAAAATGAAAAATTGGTAGAGCTAAAATACGATTGGGGATTACCATACTTAAGCATAGAGGGATTAAGACCATGAAAGTTGGAGGGGTTGGACGGACTTCTGTTCACAGAGATCTGGGTTTCTTGTTTCGACAGCCAAAGCTTCAGCAATGCAAATGAGTCGGGTACGTAGGAATTTGGGTAAATTACTCTTTGCGTTGTATATGACTTCAATTTGGTTTGCCACTTGACATTTAACTACGATTATAATCACAAACATTTTAGTTTTAATTGCATTTCATACTACTATTATTATTATTCTATGCATTCACAGATATGATTCGATTCCCTCACCGGATATAACTTCTTAAAAAACCATATATATACGATTGTCTGTCTGGATTCAACATAGAACTTGGCACCGAAGTGCAGCAGTTCGAGTTGCCACATTCCAAATAGCACACAGAAGTAGACAAGAAGATGAGTGAAGAGAATCAATAGTGTTTGACAAGTATAAGAGTGAAACAGAATGGGTAATGGTAGAAAGGAATATGAAAGATTACAGAGACTGAATACATCTGCGCTGGCCATTGACAACGATTTTGAGTCATGTCACATATTGTCTCCAGCCATTGATTCCTAGAGTCAGTCCCGAGGGCCCCAACCCGGAAGTCTGCATCTCCCTACCTGACCGACTCAGTTTAACTGTCGAGGATTTCATGGATTGATGAGGCCATGTTTTTGTTTGACCACCACTTACTCTTTTCCAACCTGCACCTATATGAGGTAGTAATGCCCGTCAGGGGAGGCGATGGTTAGGCATGCGCAGCACGTGACCTAGCCATCTCAATCTATGTAACTTTATAGCCTCGTCGATTGATTTTCCCTCTTTACCCAACACTCTACGCCTAACGCCAACATTACTTATCTTGTGAAACCACCTAACGTGAGACAGAGATCGCAGACATCTATGATCGAAAGCAGTCAACCTTTTCATGTCTTCAACGCGTATTGGCCATGTTTCAGAGCCATAGACAAGGACGGAGCGAACTGCTGAGCAGTACACACGTCCCTTGGTTGATAACCGGATGTCACGCCTACGCCAGAGATGGTGTAAGTCAGCGAAAGCAGCTCGAGCTTTTCGGATCCGTGCTGAGATTTCATCGCCAATCAGTCCGTTGGCGCTGATACAACTTCCCAAATAGGTGAAGTGGTCAACATGTTCTATCACTTCACTCCCTATCACTAAGTTAGGGGTTGACGTGGTCCAGTCCTGTAGCAGCATCTTACATTTTGTAGGGGCAAATCGCATGCCAAACATACGAAGATTGCTACTCAAGGTGTTCAGAAGACTCTGCATTTTGTCATCATCCTCCCCTAACAGGACTATGTCATCTGCATATTCTAAGTCCATAAGACTATTCCCTGGTAACAAGTCGATTCCTAAGCCATTACGTTCAGTAAAGGATACTTCCATCAGCATATCTATGAAGAAGTTGAACGGAAATGGGGAAAGTGGACATCCCTGTCGGACACAACTGGTTGTTACCAATTCAGATGACAATTCCCTATAAGCCCTTACACGGCTATATGAGTTTGAATAGAGTGCCTTGATTAGTGCAATGTATTTTCTTGGCACTCCCTTCACAGTCAGACATTGCCATAGTACCTTTCGATCCACGGAGTCAAAGGCCGCCTTCAAGTCAAGAAATATGACAATTGTTGGACGCCGAAAAGTGTGTCTATGTTCTAGAATCTGTCGAAGAGTGAAGATATGATCTATGCACCCTCTACCTGGTCTAAAGCCTGCTTGATTTTCCCTTGTCTGTTCCTCCCGAGTTCTGCTTAGTCTATGCATGATTACTGAGCCTAGGATTTTAGAGACTATGTTCGTTAGGCTGATCCCCCTATGATTATCACACGAGGACTTGTTTCCCTTCTTGAATATCGGTATAATAAGTGACTTACCCCAGTCTGATGGTACTGTCTCTGATTCCCAGACGTTGCCTAGTACCTCAGTTAATCTACAAACTAGCAGCTACATAATCCAACATCATGTCCAATACAAAATTACAAAATTTCATGCCGGATCGGCCGTGGCCCGGATTAACAACGACCGCGCTTCCTGCTGCCGTGTCACAGGGCGGGAGTGATAAATCTGCTACTGAGACACACCAAACAAAAAAGAACGAACAAAAACAGGCCGCGTGTGACCGGCCTCAAGCAGTTGTCCCCTGGGCTCTGCGGTCACGCAACCAACTTCCACGGTGTGGGCAGCCGGGAAGTAACAATCGCCCTCACAATCCGAAATGCACACGAAACCTCTCTATTACTCACTCATCTTTGTCTTCATCTTCATCTCTATCATCTTGCCTTCCTTCCACTGATGCAACTCCTCGACTTGATAGCTCTCCACTTCCTCTCCACTCTGCGTCCACTAAAAACGATGGAAGCCAAAAAACCACCACCGACAGCCTCTTAAAGCCGCGCCACCAATTTCATATAGGAGCTCTTAATGTTAGGACACTTTGCCAAATAGGACAACAAGCATCACTAGCCAAGACCCTGGCATCACGAGCCATTGATGTATGCTGTGTTTCAGAAACACGCATACAAGACCCAAGTGTGGTTATTCACCTAACCCCACCTGGCCAACAGGTTGAATCTGCAAAATTCACCTTGAGGGTGTCAGGAGATGCCACAGCTAGTTCACGAGGATTAGCTGGCGTAGGGATAGCTTTGAGTACTAGGGCAGAAAAGACATTGCTTGACTGGATCCCGGTAGATAGCCGAATGTGTGCTGTCCGCCTGAACGGATCAGTAAGAAGGAGGAAGGACTGCACTACTCGCCGATGCCTTTTCGTAATCTCCGCCTACGCCCCCACTGACTGCAGTTCAGATGAAACGAAGGATGAGTTCTACCAAAAGCTGTCTAGTTTGGTGGAAAGGCTAAACGCTCAGACATAGTCGTTCTAGCTGGTGACTTTAACGCTCAAGTAGGGAAATTGTGTCAATCTGAGAAGGATGTCGGTGGCACCTATGGAGCTCCGTGCCAGCGAACCGACAACGGTGACCGTCTCCTACAGTTCTGCTCTGATAATCATTTGTTTCTTGTAAGCACTAACTTTAAACACAAGGAGAGACACTGTTTGACTTGGAGACCCCCTTCATCAAACCAACGCTGGACACAAATAGACCACATAGCAATAAGCTATCGTTGGCGTGGGTCGGTAGGAGATTGTCGCTCCTTCTGGAACACGTGCGTAGATACCGACCATGCACTGGTCCGCGCTCGGGTGTGCTTACGACTGAACGGACGTAGGAAACAGCTGGCGGTAAAACCATCACGTCCCCAGCTCGATCAGGAAACTAAATCCGTATTTGAGGAAGAACTAGCTAAACACATATCTGTGTTCGACAGCTGTGCTCACCCTGAAGAAGCTTGGAAAAATATCCAGGCAGCCATAGATACAGCTGTAAAAGCTGTGAATAAGGTAAACCCAAAGGTGAGTAAAAACCACTGGATCTCCACCGCCTCATCCGAACTGATAGATGCTAGAAGACTTATTCCGGCGAGCTCCGAATTCAATGAGGAGCGAAAGCTGCACAAGAGGAAACTTACGAAAAGTCTCCGCAAGGACCGTGAACAGTGGTGGGCGACAAAAGCCAAAGAGATGGAGAAAGCTTCGAGGATAGGCAACACCAGGCAACTCTTTGGACTCATCAGGGAAACGGGTGGGAGAAGACAAATCATTAGTGAGACAATCTCGGAAAAAAATGGCACTATAATTAGCTCACAGGATAGACGACTGGATCGTTGGAAAGAGCATTATGAGGAGCAGTTTAATTTGCCCACAGCCACGCTCAACCTTCCGAGCATCCAACACCTCCCTGAATGGGATATAGACACAGGTCCTCCGTCACTAACTGAGGTTACTAAAGCTGTCACCAATCTGAAACTAGGCAAAGCAGCGGGACCTGATGGAATGACTCCAGAGGTATTTAAGTACGGTGGAGACAGCTTACTGTCCGGATTAACTGAGGTACTAGGCAGCGTCTGGGAATCAGAAGAAGTCCCATCGGGTTGGTGTAAGTCACTGATTATCCCCATATACAAGAAGGGAGACAAGTCTTCCTGTGATAATCACAGAGGGATTAGCTTGACTAATATAGTATCTAAAGTCTTAGGCTCAATAATCATGCGTAGACTGAGTGGTGCTCGGGAAGCACAAACACGAGAGAGCCAGGCAGGCTTTAGACCAGGAAGAGGGTGTATTGATCATATCTTCACCCTCCGACAGATTCTAGAACATAGGCATTCCTACCGGCGTCCAACAGTCATTATATTTCTTGACCTAAAGGCAGCATTCGACTCTGTCGATCGGGAAGTTCTCTGGAGATGCTTGGCTGTAAAGGGAATTCCAAGAAAATATATTGCACTGATTAAGGCACTCTATTCGTACTCATACAGCCAGGTGAGGGCTTACGGCGAGCTGTCATCTGAACTGATGACGACCAGTGGTGTCCGTCAAGGATGCCCATTATCTCCTTTTCTATTCAACTTCATCATAGATGTGTTAATGGACTTAACCCTAGGTGACTTCAGCGACTCAGGGATTGACTTGCTACCGGGGAATAATCTCGTTGACTTGGAATATGCAGACGATATAGTCCTTCTAGGCGAAGACGCTGACGAAATGCAGAGTCTTCTAAACACCTTGAGCCGCAATCTACGAATGTTTGGCATGCGATTCGCTCCCGCCAAATGCAAGATGATGTTACAGGACTGGACTACATCGACGCCTAGTTTAAAAATAGGAAGTGAAGTGGTAGAGCACGTTGACCGCTTCACTTATTTGGGAAGTACCATCAGCCCCAACGGGCTGATCTCTGACGAAATCTCAGCACGAATACAAGGGGCTCGTTTCGCATTTGTTAGTTTACGCCGACTCTGGCGTAGACGAGATGTTCGACTATCGACCAAAGGGCGGGTGTACTGCTCATCAGTCCGCTCCGTCCTCCTTTATGGTTGTGAGACCTGGCCACTGAGAGTGGAAGACATGAAAAGACTAGCTGTCTTTGATCATAGGTGCCTGCGTTCTATTTCCCGTGTAAAGTGGCATAATAAGGTGAGCAACATGGAGGTTAGGCGTAGAGTTCTAGGTAAACAGGGGAAATCAATCGACGAAGTCGTGAAGCTACAAAGACTGAGATGGTTAGGACATGTGTTACGTATGCCAAGCCATCGCCTCCCTCGACGAGCAATGTTAGCGGATATAGGGTCAGGCTGGAAAAAAGCTAGCGGCGGTCAAACAAAAACTTGGCATCAGTCAATGAAATCCACAACAGTTGGTCTAAGCCACGTAGGAAGGTGTAGACTTCCAGGCTGGGGTCCTCGGGACGGTAAAAATCTATGGTTGGAAACAATTGGTGACATGGCTCAAAATCGTTCTCAGTGGCGCAGATGCATCCACTCCCTGTGACTTATGATCTTCAATGAAACTGTTTTGTATTTCTTTATTACTCCTTTGTCTCACACCTCTGCTCACTGTTTCTATTATGCTTTTCTTGTACTTTCTTCTCTTGCTTCGCGTGCTACACGGAATGTGGCGACTTGAACTTCCGCACATTTGTGCAAAGTTCTATGTCGAAAACAGACAGACAGACAAACTAGTATGTCACCCCCATATTTAAACACCTCCGGAATAATTCCGTCGGGTCCTGCCTCTTTGCCTCGTTTCAAGTTACTGATAGCTTTTGTGACCTCACTTACAGACGGCGGACCAGTGTCTATATCCCATTCGGGTGTGGGGTGGATGGCAGGGAGGTTCAGTGTGGCTGTAGGCAAGTTAAATTGTCCCTCAAAGTGTTCTTTCCAGCGTTCAAGGCGTCTATCCTGAGAGCTAATTAAGGAGCCATTTTTCTCAGAAATAGTCTCACTTATGATTTGCCTTCTCCCACCCGTTTCCCTGATGAGTCCAAAGAGTTGCCTGGTGTTGCCTATCCTGAAAGCTTTCTCCATTTCTTTTGCTTTTGTCAGCCACCACTGTTCACGGTCCTTGCGGAGACTTTTCGTAAGTTTCCTCTTGTGCAGCTTTCGCTCCTCATTGAATTCGGAGCTCGCCGGAATAAGTCTTCTAGCATCCATCAGTTCGGATGAGGCAGTCGAAATCCAGTGGATTTTACTCACCTTTGGATTTGCCTTATTCACAGCTTTTACAGCTGTATCTATAGCTGACTGAATATTCTTCCAGGCTTCTCCAGGGTGAGCACAGCTGTCGAACTCAGATATGCGTTTAGCTAGTTCTTCCTCGAATAGGGATTTAGTTTCCTGATCGAGCTGGGGACGTGATGGTTTTACCGCCAGCTGTTTCCTACGTCCGTTCAGTCGTAAGCACACCCGAGCCCGGACCAGTGCGTGATCGGTATCTATACACGTGTTCCAGAAGGAGCGACAATCTCCTACCGACCCACGCCAACGATAGCTTATTGCGATGTGGTCTATTTGTGTCCAGCGTTGGTTTGATGATGGGGGTCGCCAGGTTAAACAGTGTCTCTCCTTGTGTTTAAAGTTAGTGCTTACGAGAAACAAATGATTATCAGAGCAGAACTGTAGGAGACGGTCACCGTTGTCGGTTCGCTGGCACGGGACTCCATAGGTACCACCGATAACCTTCTCAGATATACGATTGTACAGCTTGATGATAAATTCGTTGAAAAGAGTTTCTTCGCTGAATCACTTGTTTTGATTTTCTATATGTTACAATGGGAATTTTCCATGAGTAAATACATAAGTAGCAAAGTATATCAAGTACTTGCAGATCGAATTTATCAAGTAACAGAGTAAGCCACACGGCAAACAAAGTAAAATTCCAAGCCGATGAGAAAGATCAGTACTAATGCAAATTAATAGGTGGTCACAACAAAAGTCATGAGATACAAATATGTTGCTCGTGAAGAATTCAGATAAGTTCACCTCATATGGTAGTAAGCGCTGGAAATGATGTCCGGAAAGACAAGGAGAGGCAAAAAATTGAAAAAATTCGGCTTAGGGAAAACAAACGCATCAGAATCATCCATCTGGGCTGTAAATCTATTATTTCAGCATACTACTTACACTAGTCTACTATGGGGACCTAAATATAAATCTAGGAGTCTGACTTGCAGAAATATAAGAACCTAGATATCTTAGCAAGATCTCGACTAATAGACACACTTGTTTGGAACTTCGAAAACCACCAAATCTTGAAGCTTTACACTAGGTTTTCTTCATGGATGGGTTACAGAAATACTTAAGATCCCTTTAACTATCTGGAGTATTGGAAGACTCCATCATTTGCCTTATATCTAAATGTAGCATTAAGTAAAGAAATATGATTCTGTTAACCTTACTTGAAAATACTGGAGAAAAAAATCTGCGACAAACTGCACTCTACTAATATGCAAACGATATGGTACTTTGTCAGAGCCCTCTTGCTTAAAGTTTATTTCTGGCGATAATAACGATAAGTTAACTGGTTAGAACTACCTGCATGACACGAGGCAGTGCGTTACATGAAACATAAGTTTCGAGGAAATCAGTTGACATCCAAGGAGATGTCTGAATCTAACATTTGCTAACTTAGTTCTGAATTTTTCATCCATATTACTTTTTAGGGTATTGAGTTTGCAGTGACTTGTGACAATTACACGGTAATTGCACAAGCACTGATTTTATACTTAGGAATTCATTTTCTAACTAATCAGGATCAAAGGTAGAACGTATATGGGCACCTGAGCTCATAAAAGTGAGTACTAAGTTAACGACATCACATTCACGATTCTATGAAAGACCATCGCAAATTCTTGATTTTTCACATCATATGATAGTAAAAGATGACCTCATTTTGGTTACCATTAAGATAGAGGTGCTGACTCCTATAGTTTTTTTTGTTATATTCCCGACTGCCAAAAGATTCAACAGCTGCAGTCACATAGACCGAATATAATTTAGATCCTCACTAACAAGAAAGGTGCGTACTAAGAGAAATAGTGGTATTATTTGCCACAAAGAACACTCCGATTTAAAATATGTACCTTGACACATATGTCTATCGAACGGACGAACTACTCGGGATAAATAACTTAAGACTGATAGTATTTAATTACACCACCTACGCCTACAAAATCACCAACACAGTAACACGGAACTCAACTACAACTGATTGAACTTAAATCACTGGATTATTGAGCTGCTGATACTTCATCTATGTTATAGGACCTAATTTCTAGGAAAAACCGGGCAAACTCAGTGTCTATCACGCAATGTTTATAATCATTAATTGTACTTACCTTGCACTCTTCACACCTGCAAAGACTTTCTCTCCAACCACCATTCCAAAATACAGACGGTATTCTTTTGCATTCAGTACCTAGAAACTCAAGAGATGAGTATCGGAATTCAGGAGTAAGCCAATCCATTGTGTCAGCCCAGGTCAATAGGCGGCAATTCGCGTTGTCTTTTGAATCAGCAGTCTCTTCGGATTCAGACTTTTTAAACTTTTTTAAACCAGGCACATAATTTGTCTCAGCATTGTCGATGTGTCCATTGTTTATGACCACTTGACAATTCTGGCGAAATGCGTCGACAGTGTTATAAGCTTCCACAAACAAAAATGTGTACTTTTGGATACACATGAAGCATGTCATTTCATCGTAGTCTTCAGGTACCTTGAACTCAGGGTCCATATTAAGATGCTGAGAAGTCTTTATATTTATATCATAATTACCTCCAAGTGATACCAGTCCTCACAGATACCGCACTGTATCATTTCTACATTACCCTAGTACAGAAATGTATAAGTAATTTGTCAGTACGTTATCTGGATCAGGATAGGGACGCAGACAAGAGCAGTAACGGTTGGAAAAATTTTCGCCATAATGGTTGAGAATATTTTCGTCGTCTTTTTCCTTGAAAATTTAGAAATAGACTTGTATTACCTCCCACAGTAGGCATCCATGCGCCCCTCTAAATTTAGCATTGCCACAGTCACAGCGGAAATTTCGCTTGGTGTATAGCTCGACAACATCATGGCCAGCATGACACTCCAGGGAACAAGGATAACAAATTCCAGCTTTCACTTCGTTTATATCTAAACAAGTACGACAGGTGTAGAGTCCCTGTCTTTTCACATAACCCTGGGAACTCTATAAAAAACAGTAACCTTACTCTTGTGAATGTACAAACGGACTTGTCATCGATGCCACCTAACACCATCAAGGTTTCGTCATCCACATCTTCAAGGATATTTCCGATTTCTACAACTGCATCTTCCTCCCCGTCGCTATCCATTTCCCGATGGCAACGAGTCCGATAGCCCTTCGAAGGATGTTATTTTGCCTGCCCGCCCCTGAAATAAACAACTGGCAGAGTTACTTGTGATTGGTTAATTCAAAACCACCTTTGAAATTAAAGTTGCGGCAATTTTAAGCATTATTGACTTGCTTCTGTCCTTGTTTTCAATCGTTCGGTTGCATAACTAACAATACATGACATTATGGCACATGAAAGAAATGTGTCATTAGATTTATTAGCTGAATTCTATGAAGCATTTCGATATAAAAGTGTAAGGACTTGGCAAGAGTGTGGTGAATGCATTGAGTTTCGAAAAGTTGATGAGTTCATGCAAATTCAATTGTGGCTTGACTAATATATCCAGCTAACCAGTAGCAGAGTTTATCGGAATGAAAACAACATGGTTGATCCAGCTTATAAGTACCTACATGTTGTCTATTGTTTTCACGTTAGCAGCCGCCGAGAATCAGCAGACGGGCATCAAAGAAGATAAGAGTGTGTAGTGTAAAACATTTAGGATTCATATTCTGGATCGGAGTACTTTGGAAATCCATTAGACTTGAATTTAGACAGTGAAAAGTTGTTGAGCCAATCAACACATGCGCAATTATGCATTGGAGAGGGAGCTACTAACGTCTATGGAGTCACAAGCTTTAAGACTCAGCCACCAATAGCAATTAAGTGCTGTTGCCCATCGAAGGGACTCTCCCTGCTGTAAAATGGATCTAAATTGTTGATGTTTAATTCTTGAAGCGTATGACTTATGACGACTACCGGAATCTCCCTGAACTTGTCTGCCCCAGTAGGTAATCTTGCTGTGTCAACAATCTGTATCGGAATGCGTGATATGAACATGCCCATACGTGAAATACGTGAGACAGGATAATTAGGGTATGTGCTGGACAACCAGTGTCGTGTCGAGAAGTTTAATTTCGCAACCAGGGAAATGATTACTGCGTATTAAAAATTCTGTAAGGTTTTTGGCATGAACACAACATGCAATGAGGATGGAGAATGGTAAGTACAAAATACGAAACAAGTCATTTTCAGTCATGCTCTACGCCAACTGGTTATTTCATGTGGGCTCAACAGAATTTGTGCTGTAATGTACATGATAAGCCAACATGGACAACTGGTTGACTTTAGGTCAGTCTTACATTCCTTCAAGCATATCATAAGTGCTGTGTCACATACTGTCATATTTACCATTGACTACAGCCCTGCAGAGCAAGGTGCCATTCATAACTAGTCGACTGCCTGACGTACAGCGCCATATGCATTCCGTGCCACCAAGACCTAGAGTAATAAGGTGAGTGACATTTCTGACGACCTAATTCATTTGAGTTCCGTGATGCCGCATTCAGAAGGAAGTTTAAAGAAATGGTAATTACATAGACGGTTCCTATGATTCCATGAACTGAGAACGCTAATAAGGATAGAGTAGTCTGCAGCAGTTTCATAAAAGCACAAAGTTTTGGAGTTGCGGATATATGGAGGAGGCCTGTTACCTTACAAAAGTTGTTACTCTAGGCAACAGACATCAGTGGTTGGGTCGATTGCTGTTACAGGGGCCTGAAGCAAATGCTTCCCACTTGAAATGAGCGTTCCTGATATATATTTGGAAGTGCTCTCCTATGCCATCGAGGCGAAAAGATGGTGAAATTAATCGCAATCTTCATCACTTCGCAGCATTCGACGTAACCCCTGTAGTTCTTTATATGTGTTGTAGGTAGTTGAAGGTTTTTCTTACATACTTAGGCGTCAAACAACCTACGCTGCCTGTTCCCTTCAGAAAGCGTCAAAAAGCCAATTGATAGGCATGAAACTGAATCGATAAAAACCGTCAAAGAAATTATCCCTAAGCTCCTATTGTTACGAACAGGTTTCGAACAGATAAATACTATGTACTCTGTTCGACTTAAACTCCAAAACAACAGCATTATAAGAAGGAAGTTATATTATTTGGCAATTAAAGCGGAGAATAGTAAAAGTCTATAAACAAATTTGATAAAAAATTATAAAGTACTTTAATTCCTTTTTGGTCGTCATCGTCGAAATTGCACACGATCGAACCATACGCGCCTAAAAATTGCCCACAAATGGCTACCACGTCCAAAAACAAATGCTCAATGTTCACCTAAATTGACACTCCCCGACAAAAATGGTTCATCAATGTTTCCCTAAAGATGATTATATCGAAATGAAATGGCAATGAGGGATGTGTGGGAACAGGGAAAAGGTGAAAATAGAAAAATGAGACTGAGAAGACCAACATACCACGAGCACAAACTCACACATCGACAACGACCTACGCCTTCCAGTTAAAGGCATCCTCTTGACATCATGCAACACAATCGCCACTTTCTAGAATGACTCTTGCAGGACGCAACGTGACCATAGCAGCACCTCATGATATCCTTCGCACATCTTCTTATCTAATAATAAATACTAATTTTAGCTACACGTTCCCCAGTGGAACATCGGGCCGCAAGCTAGTGGCAGCAAGTTTCTGTAGCAGTGTTTATTTATACAGGATGGGGTTCTTAGCCTCATTCCCAACCTTTCCTACTTGCCAGCATTATTTCTGGTTTAGAGAGATAAAGGAGTGCGTCGGTCGGTGAGGGAACCACGGACAATATGCATGGTCGGCGAGCGTCGTAAATGCTGCGCCACCGACATATCCTCTTATCTATTCACTACCAAATACAACTGAGATCGCTTGTTACTCATTCTGCCTAAATTCTAGTAACGGTGACGTATGCAAGCCTCAGTCGTCTACACTCTCGCTCCCCGACGTGTGGGACCACGGCTAATCTTACCTCCGTGTACATGTCATTCTCAGCACTAGCCTCCCCGACGTATACGACCCATCTGCTGTCTCTAACATCAATCAATTCATTCGCGGATGAAGAAGCCTCGAAACATCTTCAGAAGTAGGCACGACGAACAATTTAACAAAATTATGCAATAACAAAAAGGTACGAAAACAACAAGTAAACACAATGAATCTGTCAGTCACGTCTCATAAACCGTTAATGCCCAGCTCTCGCTACGCTCGGGCCCACGCTGTTCCTTGAAGTTTTCAGTAACGCTTAGTTATAACGGACGCAAAAACCAAAACACCGATTGGCCGCTTGATATTTGTTTATTGGTACATCAACATATAAAAATAATAATTGAACTAAGGTCTGTGAACAAATATTACAATAATAAATCATAATATTACTTCTGACGATGTTTCACTCTTCTTTCTGAACAGCGACCGATGAGACGATGACTGTCGTATTGATGCCTCCGCGAAAATTCGGGAAGTTGGTTTTGAGCAAACAACCAAGAATTGATCGTTCAATCTTCAACTGCATTGACACTCCCCGGCAAAAAAGGGATCCAACCCTTTTTTCCTTCGCGACCAATACACGTTGACTTGGATGCCATTGCGAGAACCTGGGTCACATGGACAGAGCTAAAATGGAAAACAAACAGAAAAGCCAACACACCATAAGCGACTCACAGCACAATCTCACGCATCAATGACGACCTGCGCCTTCCAGTTAAAGGCATCCTATTGCATCACAATCGCCACTTGCTAGAATGACTCTTGCAGAATGCAACGTGACCATAGCACCATTACACGGTACTCCACGCACGTCCTCGTATCTACTCACTACCAATTACGACTGCAATAGCTTGTCACTCATTCTGCCTCAATTCTAGTAACGGTGACGTATGCGAGCCTCAGTCGTTTACACTCTTGCTCTTCGGCGTATGTGACCGCAGCCAACAATTGTCTCCGCTTGCATTTCATTCTCAGCAATAGCCTAGCCTCCCCGGCGTATACGACCCATCTGCTGTCTCTAACATCAATCAATTCATTCACGGATGAAGAAGACTCGAAACATCTTCAGAAGTAGGCACGACGAACAATTTAACAAAATTATGCAATAACAACAAGGTACGAAAACAACGAGTAAACACAATGAATCCAAAAACACCAATTGATATGACACACTACACATATATACAAACAGTACACACAAACTCGCAGTTCATGTCTTGATGGAATTCCTTTGAAGAATCGCAGGACTTACACCAGTACGCCTACAAACCTTCACAGGTTGACCATTGTAAGTTGTGGAATGTCCGGACACAAACAGAATTACCAACAGCTAGATGACAGATGATATCAATTCAGTATATACAATATGATCATATGTACAAAATCACACACCGAGCACATTGGACTGCTCATTGATGCGCTACCCTTTGAAGAATTGTAGGACTTACAGCAGTACGCCTACAACCCTTCTCAGGTTGACGCCCTAGGTTGGAAAATCATCTAGTGTTTCATCCTCCGACTCTCTACTCTCAGCACCTTCCAGTAGACACAGTCTTCTGATATCTCGCACCAACATGCCACAACTAGTTCTCACCTCAGCCGTCCTCACCAATCCATCACCAGTACAGGTCAGCCTTACTACCACTCCCAAAGGCCACCTACCTGTGGCACATTTATCTGCTACTAATACTATGTCACCAACCTTTAAGTTTCGGCACAACTTTTTCCACTTGTCCCTGGTTTGCAGTGTTAGAACATACTCCTTTAACCATCTTTTCCAAAATATATCTTTCATGTGCCTGGCTTGTTTCCATCTTTTAAACGTAGGTATTCCTTCCCCGCTTGCGTCCTCTATGCCAGGGTTGCCTCTCAATAACAATAATTTATTTGGGGTTAACACATCAAAATCCTTGACGTCGTCACTCACAGGTGATAACGGCCGGTCATTTAATATTCGTTCAGCTTCACAAAAAAATGTCTCCAGCGTTTCGTCATTCAAACTCTGGTTTTTAATTATGGAGCTTCAAAAACGCTTATTAATTCCTATAAGTCTTTCCCATAGCGCAAATCTATGGCTGGTACGTGGTGGATTGAAGTACCACTCGATGTTCCTTTTCAGTAAGTCTTCCTAAACTCTTGTCGATGGAGCTGAAGATTGAACGATCAATTCTTGGTTGTTTGCTTAAAATCAACTTCCCCAATTTTCGCGGAGGCATCAATATGACA